TTTTACAGCCATAATGAACTATTAACTAATACCCATAGTATTTCCTATAGCCATCAGTATATTCGCAGGTGTGATGATTTTAAGTATGTTTTAGAAGTGTTATTAATTAAGAAACTTTTTTGGTTTCTGATGGATCAGGTATTAATTCTAAAATTGAATCGTTCCAACAAATAAGGGCAATTTATAGAGTTCATTTTAATAGTTTCTAAAAAAATGAATAATGAAGGTTACCTACTTCTCCTAAGTATACTCTTAATTATACGATTGTATATTGAAATATGATAACACTCCATTATAATCTAAATGTCATGTCTTTTTTTTTTAATGCTAAAAACGAAGAAAACGATTCTGAATAGCTTCAAGATTCTGAGTTAAACCTATGTTATTTGAATAGATACCAAATAAGGAATGTATATTCTAATTGGGATCTGACAAATGCAAAATATATATATTTTTTAAGGCATTTAAATTATTAACATTTGAACAAGTAAGTGCAATGAATACAAGATTTTGAAAAGCTTTATTAGTTATTTTATCATTTATCAATGTGTCTATTAAAAAATGTACCAATGATTTGACCGTTTTTAGTCCCACACACCTTTTTGAAAATGTGGCAGTTGTTTACAGTTTTTAGTTAATAATATAATATTATGTATGAAATTGAATAATAGGTACTCACCTTAAATATATTCATCGTACCTCGTGACAACCATTATACTTTGTTGCCTACCTACGCAAATACGCTAAAATGTATATTTTTTAATAAATATACAGTGTATATTATACAGTCCTATTATAGCTGTATATTGTCATAGTATTTATTATTTATGATTTTATTCAAATAAATATCTATTTCTCGTTAAGTTTATTGAATATTCTAATACTATACTTGATTTGATAGATTTAATAAGTTTCATATTGAACATTTGAACCGAGTATTTATTACGTATTATTCAAATGTGTTTACTGTTTTAGTAATGTAAATTTGAATATTTTAGCACATTCAATTTGATTAGGCAATATATAACATTAATAATTATTGATTATATGCCAATGTACACTCACCAATAAATCATATAAACAAGGAACATTATAGTGGAGTGTGCATTTCAATGACTGATAATTTTTATTACATATTAAAATAATATAATATTGACCTTTAGTTATTTGAAAATGATAGCATTTTATTGTCAAGCACACATAATCAATGGTTTTTTTTTTATTCCAAACAACAAACTTTTATTTTCTTAGTGAAAGTTTATTTGTTTCAATGTCGATTTGTTATATTTTGTCCTCAGTTATAATAAAACACTGGTATTTTATGATTATAAATAAACGGTAACTAAAAAAATACAAAAAAAAAAGGTCAATGAGGGATCAACCTCATCATCCCCTCTATCATAAATACGACTGTGCTTTTCACAATCTAAAATTTTTGAATCATTATGTATTGGAAATTATGAAGTGCCGGAATAAATACATTTGAATTTCAAGTTAATAGAACCATGCATATTTGGTTTTTTCATAGTACATAATACATAAAATATTATATTTTATATTGTATTGATATATTGAATAGTCAATGAGATGAAATATGAATACAAAAATACTAAATTATGCATTTAATATTAAGGAACGAAATATTGAATCCATGTATAGGCATTCAAAACTTTCATATTTGCGGATGAACCTCACATTTTCACCAGCCCGAATGTCTTTTTTTAAATATAAATATAAATTTTTCGGATATAAAAATTAATTGCACAAAATATATAAACATATACCACACATTTCCATTTTTCCAGTTACAACATGAAATACTTTTTAAGTAATGTTTATTCTACCTAAATTCTATAGTTTTAAATTTGTATTATTTCTCGGATGTAAACTTCCAACAGGTATCCATGTCCCATGTACCTATTTTTACTAAACTGTGAAAATTAGTTTATATTAAAATAACACTGCAATGTTATTTTAATCCACACGTGTGCAATATATTTCCCTGAATCCGAAACTACCGACCAATAAAGTGTATGCAGATTTATGTTGATTATGTATTATTTTCTATATTCCACGACCCACACCATTTTTAAATCAGTTCTTAATTCTTAGTTTTGGGATACGTTTAAAAATTACACTTTTCAATATACATTGATGTATTTATGATATATTAAAACAAAAATATCAGGATGACTTTAAGTATTTTAACCTAGAAAGACATTATTCGGAATTTAGCTATGCTGTACCAACATGCAAAGCTTATATAAGTGGTGTATAAGATTCAAAATTTAAACATATGGCAGCAAATTTCTTTATCTTGACGTAAAAGATAAAAATGTATACTAATATTCTACATTTAAATTTTGCAAAATGTTTCATATTAAAGTTTCACTTCGTGTAGTTTACATTGCTTATAAAACACTTAATAAGCTGATAGTTTTATCAATCGTAATAGTTGAGAATTCAATAACGTCTTATAATACGTCATAATAATCCTTACTAAAAGTTATTAAAAATTGTTTAAATATTATATCTATATAACTAAATTAATACAAAAAATAAAACATAAATCTAACCCCTATTTTAAGGTTTAATAGGTACGATACATAATGTACAGTATGAAATTTAAAAGAGTGTGTAGTTGTAACATGAACTATGTGGCGATAAACGAGTTTCAACTGTTTTGATAAAACATAAAAGTAACCAGTATCTAGGTAGGTATATAGTTAATAATTATTAATTTACATTTTTAAGTTCTGGACATTCTGGTGTCTATAAAAGTCAATGTCAAGTGACAAATAGTAAAAACAAAACATGAATTTAAAATCCATTACTTATGTATTTAATTATTTAAATCAAAATATTATAATTACAATTTACAATTATTGATTTATCATTTTAAACTAGTACATTATTATAGGTTCTAAAAGTCGAACAAGAAATCTGTTATAAGGATATTAATTATTAGCATTATAATATACACCAGTAAACTATAACAATATGTCAATATGCATTAAGGGCATCGGAGTCAGCGCTTTCTTAATAAAATAAACATGTCTTACGGGAAAACTCTTACGCTCTGTATTTTACTATTTTAGTTGGATTTTGTTAATTTTTATTTTATTTAAAAGAAGAGAACATTTTGTAACTCAGATTAAAGCAATATTTTCAAAATTATAATATTATGGAAGCTAAAATATGCATTTTATTACAATATTTGTTATTTGTCAGACGTGTTTTTCTTGCACTATAAAGTAAAATGAAAATCCAGGCTTTGATCTGACTTGAAAAATATTCTCATATTTCAGATAAAAAAAAAACTAACAAAATTCGACACATCAATGAGGCATGGGAATTTTTTTTGCGAAGTCTTTTTTGTTGATATGATACACCTTATCAAACCCCCCCCCCCCCCACACAAAAAAAATAGATATCTGGCAGTAGATTAGGTACTGGAAAAGGATTATAATAATTAAGGTAGCAACTAAAATATAAATAATAAAATATAAAATTATAAATTTCGGAAAATTATTGAGAGAACCGGCACCGACACCCTTAACAGTAAAATACGCATTTTTTTTTTCAAGCATCATATCTAGATTTGACCCAATTCACACATTATCATAATATTCTTAAGTATAAAACCAAATCTGTAATTCTTTATATAATTAAGAATAAGTAATAATAATACAAATTCTTAGACAATAATATTTATAATGCTTTATGGGAGTGTTGGCAGAGCCCGGCGCTCTTTGTTGACGGAAAATGATATAACTTTGTAGAACGAAATATGTGTAAAATAACGGTTAAATATAGGTACACCAAGCCTAGCGATGATAACTAGTCCAATATTATAGAATATTTACGTACCGACCTATTCAGTTGCATATTTACTGTTAACTTGTATATTTTGTTGACTTATAAAAAACAGAATATTACTATAATACTGTTAATTTTCTATTTTGTTTCATTACCTGTATAATAATGTGGTATACAAATTGAAAAGTATGATGTACATAAAATAATTTCAATAATTGTTTACAGTATTTTGGTAGACTACCACCAGTACTTGCAGGTGATTTTACTTAGTTGTTGTTTGGTAAATTGTGATTCATAATTATTATTGTGATTAGGTATCATTAACGGCACAGGCGCGGCGTGGAGCGTCGGCCAAAGCTGATAACATTCATCGTATTATTCTACCTATAAATCTATCCTTTTCAGTTATACCTATATATCTCTGAATAATAATATACCTTTCGTAAATAAAAAAACTCATTGAAATTTAGTTTTTTGCATTTTATTGGGGATTATAAAAGTAGAAATTCCTTAAAATAACACCGCCCTCTAAAAAAAAATTGTGTATTAAAATAAACGCCACATCGTATTTTTCCAAGTGCTATACCTAATATAATCACTTTGAATTCATTGTACCTACCTGTTTGATAATTATTTCATATTATTAAATGCAGCCAAATATGTTCAATACTACTATGAGTCGACATTCGTGAACTCCTTCAACTGTAATAAATTGGATGTACCTAGGGTACTTATTGTATTCATATTTTGTAATATTGATTTTCTTCGATTCTTTGTACATTTTTGGTATATATTTTATTCGACGATAAGTAACAATATTGCCTCGTATATACATTTGATACATGGGTATATGGATACAAAAAAAAATTCAACTTATATTTTTATCGTTGTTGACTAACTTAACTAATATTTTTTTTACAGTGAAACCACCGAAGTGCAAATCACTATCAATAAAGGATACTCAAACCATTTGAAAAGTAATGAAAGCCATGTGATTGAGAAAAATGAAGTGTTCGCGTCGGAAGATACAGTTGTGACAGAAATATACAATTAGAGCCGACCGGGTGTATCAAGCCGAGTGCCGTTCGAAAGGATCTCGACCATTGGCTACAATCGAATGGTATCTATTAAAAAAAAATCAACGCTTTAACGTTGGTCAATCCATAAATTCCACTCGTACGATGGATGCATCGTCCCTGATGGTCTTGTTGGGAGAAAAACGAGGCGGTGCTAATTTAGAAGATACAATCTCCGGAGTGGTGGAAACACAACAAGTAAGTAATAAGTTCCTATTTTACGATTATATAACAATGGAAACGAATTATTATACAAGAAGCAAAATATATACATTGGGCTCAAATGCTCAATAGAATGTTTGATATATATATATGGTCAACCAGTGTGCAAGATTATTCGTGGAGGAGGTTACGATAAAAAAATGTAAAGATAGATACATAAATTATCAATAAATAATGTTATATTTATATTCATTTTTTAAGTATATGAAAATCGTTTACATCAATAGGTGGAGTTGTTAGACAACATGTAGGAGTTTTGCAGAAGTACACTTGATTTTAATTCGATAAATCCAATATCTATTTATGACCTAGATGCAAAGAAAAGGCTATGTGGGAGGGGATAACAGAATGACCCCCCCACCACTATTGTGCACGTGACTGTACATGATTACATGATGGGTAAACTGAACTAGAATAGAGCCATCACTAATACTTTTTTTTATAATCATTATTATGTCAGTGAGCATACACGATACACCTACACCTAATTGTCTAAAATTGAAATGTGTCACTTGTGCGAATAGGGTATTGTTATAAAATACGCTTTAAAGATAATTATACGTTGTATTTCCACAATAACAATGATTGAAACCAAGACATGTCTTATAACCTTATATTTTGCACACAGAACACATAATTACTATTTACTATTATAATTGTATCAATGAAAAAATACGACTAAAAGTATTTCAATATAATGCGACGAAGATATCTAAATTGCATAACATGTCTCTAAAACAAAATTAATTGTATTATATTGGACACCAATATCCTTCAATAGCACCTTTCAGTTATATTCTTAAATATTTAATGACAAGCTTTAGTGCAGTACATTTTTAATAAAAATCAAATTCTCAAAACAACAATGTCTTGGTTAAGCCTGTATTATAATTTTTATTTTCAATCCGTATATTAATACAGAGGCGTTCTCAGGATATTTCAATGGAGGGGGATGAAAAAAATGGTTTCAAAATAAGCCGTAAGGGTTTTGCCTCACAACTCCCATATTATAATAATGAATATTAAAAAAGCGGGTAAGTGGATGTCGCTCTGCTGTACAGTAGATTACAATAGTTGGTCACTGTATAATGGATTGTATTAAATTTGAATTCAATGAAATCATATCATTGTATACGAAAAACGATTCTGAGTGGGAGACGGTTTGTCAGTCTGGATATTTTATATTGTAATTATATTTTATTATAGCCTGTAAGTTGAATTAATATTATAAATTACGATAAAATAACTAAAATCATTATTTTTATTTTATTTGTTACTATGGTGATAAACAAAGTGTTAGAAATTGAAATCACATTTTTAGCGGTTTTTGAAATTTGTCATTGAAATTGTAATGTGTCATTAAATAAATATTGAGAAAATTGAAAAATTACCTCTCTAAAGTACCATCTTGATAAAATTTGCTACAAAGAAAAGATATACTATATGTTAAAAGCGAAGAACTCCTTCTGGTAGAAATTTTGTATGCAGGATAAAATAAAAATTAAAATAAACAATATTGAAAAACCAATAGAACCCTCACTCCGCTCAGAATCTAATAATATTGATAGTAATATAGTTGATAATATCAAATAATCGATTCAAGTCATATTTATTGTTCTTTTTATTTAAACTATACAAGAATGTTATGAATCAGTTTAAATCAGGGATAGAAAATGTTTTTAATTTTTTCGTTTTCGTTTTTGATTAACGTTTTTAAAAACGTTATTTTTCTATATTGTTTTTGATAATATTGTTTTTTTTTATAGTAGTAAATTTAGCAATTTAGAAATGCACTTAAGAGTTAAAAATTAAAATTAATTATTCTTGATTTCAAATAAAAATGTTTTTAAATTTAGTAGAGCATTGTTGGTAAAGATTAAAAAGTAAATACTTAAGTAACATTTTTTTTTTCGTGTTATAAATATAATAATGTATAATACTATAATTTATTTGCGTTTTCGTTTTTAATTTCGTAATTAATATTTTTTCTGTTTTTGGGATTTTTTGTTATGGTTTTTTGTTTTTGTTTTATTAATTGTTTTCGTTTTTTTTTCCGTTTACTAACGTTTTTTAAAAACGTTTGCCACCCCTGGTTTAAATTATTTATTTTATTTTATCACTGTGGTGTTATTATTGTGTATCTTACCTTTACATTTTTTCTGACGCTGGGAATGGGTAAAGTTGACGGAGTGATTGTTTACAAAAATACAGTACAAATCAATTGTAAAGCGAATTGCCTGTTATATGTTATAATTATCAGTGATAAATAATAATATTGTTTATGACTGGTGGAATCAATAATCACGATAAAGAAAAATTGCAAAAAAAAAAAATAAAATAATAACTACCAAGTCAATATTGAAAACACAAACACATATCAAAAGTAGACAAAACGTGTATTACTAATATGTAAAAAAATAAAGAACCTTGGGGGGGGGATCTATCCCCCATATCCCCCCCCCGTGAGAACGCCCATGTATTAATATGACATAATTATTATAGTATACCTATTTCAAAGAAATATTTTTTCTAGAGTGTTGTACAAATAATTTTACTTAATATGGAGTTAATTAATGGGATATTACCTTACTATGTAATGTAATATATAAATGTAATTAATTGTCAAGTTTACATTTTAATTATGTTTATAATAATATTATGTATAAACATTTTAGTTAAATAACTATTAAACACTTAGGTACCTAATATATTTGATTGCAAATTAAAAAAAATATGTTTAAATAAATCAAATAAGACATACCTATCTAGTATCTACATTTATCAGCTATGATTAGTGCTTAGATTTTAGTATTCTAAAAAAACAGGAAAATGTCTTTAAACAATAAGTAAGACTTGATGCACTAATAATATTACAAAACTTTCAAATATGCCTTTAATAAATGTTTTGAACATAATGTTAAATAAAAAACATAATTGAACAAAAATCTATTCATACTACAATCAATAACAAAATGTCTGATAAGTATACTCTGTCACTATAGGCAACCTGTTAGACAGGCAGACCACTATGTATTTTATAAATAAAAGTTGTTCTCTCTCTGTACGTAATTTGGCATTATCACCATTGTTTTTAACTTATGGTATTTACGAAAATGTACCATTTACATTTATGTTTAAAATATAGGTATATTATTTAATTGATTCTATAATATGTTTATTTTATGGAATGAATGTACATTATCATTTAATTACCTATATAGGCACTTAATTTTCAACAAAAAGATTTGTAAGGGGTAATATTATACCTACACTTTGACAGACTGCCGTTTTTATTGATTTTGTCTTTTGAGTTTTAATATTGATTATAATCATATTAAATTGTGAAATAATTATTATCATAGCATGATAAAATCTCTCATCAGTTTTAAATGATATAGATACAATAATGAGCTGTATAAACATATACATATAAACAATTTAAAATATGTTAATTAATTTTTAATTATAAATTTCATTAAGTGTTATGTAATAATTTTAAGCAATATATAATATATATATATATATAAATGTAGATAGTTAGTATCCATAGAAAATACTACGTTTTGATAAAAATTGTTTTTATTATAAAATACTATCGCATCAATCAAACTATACAACCATTCAAAACTGCCTATACCAATGGAAAAACCGGAGTATAAAAAGCATTGAAATTTGAAACATATTATATATTTTTTTAAATAATTATTGAAATTCAAGGAATAATAATTAAAAAAAAAAATGTTTTCTGTATTTTAATCCCAAAGGGAAATATCCTTTATGATTTAACATAGAAAAGCACAGAAAGATGGATGTGCCATGTGCATGTACTATTTACAAATTAATATTATATGACATATTTTATTTTATCGATTGTTACAAAATACAGAATGTTTACCCTATACAACCACTTCCATATCTAGAATTACTATTATTATTATTATCATTATTGTTCTATTATAAACACACAGTTCTAGCTAATGAATAATGATCAAAAACAATAGCGGACCACTATAACTCAGTTAATTCATCAATTAATGTATTTCAGCATCATCGCCGATATTTGTATTTGTTCTAAAAATTAAGTTTGCCTCTCTGACACAATACTATGCAGTTTGATAACAATGACTATTATTTCGATTTTATTTGTAAATGACAAAATACAGCTACCAGTTTCCCAAAAAATATTTTAAAAATTCATTTGTAGTAACAAAAAAAAAAAAAAAAATACAAAGCAGTATAATATATTGAGTAGATGTTGATATAAATAATTATTTGACAATAACGATTATAAAAAGTGAAACGTATAACCTAACCTAGTCGACTTTTAGCATGAATAACACTATTATTGTTAAAACTAGGTTTGGTATACTGTATACATTATTTTAGAAAAATTTAAAATTATGTAGGCACTGGGCAGTAGTTATACATTCAACATTGTTATTTAACCAACATACAATAATTTATATTGCTCTCACTGATAAAATATAATATTATAATATATTAAGCTGTAGATGAGTAAACTCATTAAGTTTACACGTCGACAGTTTTATGGTTTACCTTGACGAGTCACTGTATGGTAATTTCCTCCACTTGATAAAATATTTTAAATGTAATTATTAGGTAAAAATGTAAAATACTACAAAAATGTAAGAAACGAGATAGGTGTAAAGTGATTTTGGTTTGAGAGTAGTATTTTAAAACAACGGCTGGCCCGGATATGTTGTGGTAGGGGGCATCACCGTGGTCCAGGTATGTAAATGATCCGTCAGATTGTCAGCTTGAACAATTATTAAGTGGTAGTTTATTATTTTTATGGTGTAAAAATTGAATTATTACATTTTAAGACATACTGATTAGTATTAACTAAAAGTTCAGGTGAAAATAAAATGTATAGGTACCTATCTATACAACCTACCATATGGTACCCATATACCCAGCATATGTTCTCAATTGTTATCTGCTTTTAGAATATTTAT